AAAGCTCGGTCCCTAGCTACTTGTTGTCAAACAACGCAATAATGTACGTTATTTCATAAAATTTGTACCTGAGAAATTTACAAATGGAAAATGCTTTTCTCGTAAGTGTAAGCAAATCTTAAAATGATAGGATTTGTAATGATACGATCTTAAAACGAGCAATTCAGTATTCTTATTCAAAACACCAAACACCCACCACTGGATCAAAATATGCCCGCACGGCGCAACCTGGCACGGTGGGAAGCCCCTCTCGTACAATTTAAATTTAGTACATAAGGCAAAAAATAAAAAATATGATTTAGAACATTTTACTTTTTGTATACAGAATCCACTGTTTTTAAACTTACCTGACCAAAAAATAAAATAAAGTAGTAGCCCACAAAAAAAGTTCCGTGGAAATTTGCCATGTCAAGTTTCATAAAACATTTAAAATAATCGACTTTATTTGAATATTTAAAATGAAAAGTACCGGGGGACCGAGCCGTGGCTCAGTATGTTTATTTCGATTGTAAAAGATATATAAAGGAAACTCGTGTTTTCTTTATAACTAATTTCGGCTTTTATTGTTTAAGTTTCCGTGGAATTTTAATTTACTATGATGTAACTTTAAATGGACAATGCAACACATTAATTTATTTTAATCTTACACATTTCTGTTATTGTAAATAAATCATAGAAATTTAAAAAAATAAAAGTCGTATTTTTTTTAATACGTTCCTAATGAAGGAATTAATATGCAATCACAGGTTAATACAGTAGCAATCAACTACACAGCATTAAAACAGCACAGTGTATGTAAGGGGTGTGATTTATTTCTTGGTATTAAATTAAGTCATTCTTCAAGTATAAGTAAAACTTCAGCATGGACATACTCTCTAGCGTACTATCATATGATGGATTAGCTGAAGGCAGATAAGTCCGATTCAAGCGTATATTGCTTACTATAAAGATTGTTGTAATACAATTAACTTTAACTAGTGGTCGTCCAGTGGTCGAAAACTTGACCAAAAATATGTAATGTACAGGTTTCAAATGATTTAGGCCTAAATTTTTTTTCCTGTGTGAGTAACTAAGGACTTCTGGATAATTTAAATATGATATTTATATGTTTCTTACTCAGGAACAATGCCGTTCCGGGACACTATATAAATGGACGTTAACGTGATTATAAATTTGCATTTTACTTAGTCAAAATACAATAGGTATTGCGCAACCGTGATATGTTAAGTCATTAACCTTGGTTCACTAATAAAAACTACACCGTATGCTTACTCAAACAAAACAAAACTTGCTTACTGTACAGCAATAAATCACGTAAAGAACAAAACAAAAGAAAATGTAGACTAGAAGACTACTGATACCGTAGTCATCCTAGGCTACTACTACATCATGTTTCAGAACAGAAGTATGGGGATAAAAATATTAAATAACTAATAAAACACCATAAAATCATAGTACTGTACTTAAGTCTTCCTGGTAATAATAACAATGATAAAAATAAGATAAAGATAACAAAGATGTAAAACACCTCTTATTATTTCTCTTTGTTCTATTCTTTCTTTGGTTTCTCTCCATCCACAAGTTGTCATGGTTACTAATCACCCAACCACAAAATATTGTAGTGTTGTGACAGCAGACAGGAGCAGACGATTGTCAGTATGTCAGTGTCGGTGCAAGATTGTCAGTCTGTAGGTGCGAGCGTATAGGTTGACCTTGACGCTACTGATCGATATTTCTCCGTTTTGCTTCCATCTTATTTTTGTCAAATGAACTGTAATATTTCAATAATTGGGAACCTACTGCACATACAAATTACCGTAAATAGTTAAATATATAGTTCAAATCGAAATATTTGACTGAAAAACACAGTTCATAAAACATTTTCTTGGGATTTGTGAGGTTATATAATATATAGGCATCATGATGATGCGACTCCAGTTAAGCGAGGTTCTACTGTATTTTCAAGTTAAAGTTACAAATAGAAAACCCATTATGGTTTGTATTCAATGACCGATGTATTATACAAAATAAGTTATAACTTACTTTGATATTAATCAGAAGCATTTATTACAGCTTGCAGCACTTATTGGTATATATAAATATCCCAGTTACTATTACTTAAAAAAAAAAATAACCAAAAACTGCATGATTCGAAACAAAAAAAACACGAATTCGTGTGGCCATTCAATTTTTATAAACACAGTGTTAAACATTTGACTCTGCAGAATACCGGATGGTAAAGAGTGTTTGGTTTCAATTAAATAAAATAAAAAATAGTTTAACCAGCTTTACTATTTATTTTGAAAAATAATAGATAGGAAACCATAAGGATAGGTATGGGATTGAACTGAAATAATTGCAGGAAAACTTGAATCGTAAAGTCCACAATCTGTACATCGTTAGAGAGCGAGAGAGAGAGAGAGAGAGAGAGATTTGATAAGGAATCTGAAAAGTAAACAAATAATCGTTTCTGGCGTTTGTTGTACTGTACCCCCCTCCCCCCCCCCAGCATTTGCACTCGTGACCACTTATTGTTGCTTCCTTATCATTCATCCGTCCCAAAATATAATTCCTGTAATAGTTTGTTTGTAAAATTAAAATTATTATAAAAATCTTTTATCTTTCGAGTGTAGTTTCATGGTTATTCTTATCAGATAGAATAATATCGTTGTCATATGTAATAGTTACTTTTTCAAAAAACAGTTCCCGTATCTCGGACAAGATTCACGTATATTTCTCGAGATAAAGAAAATCCGTATAGTTCCCGGTCCGTGGAAACACTGTAAATATTGTAGGCCTACTAGGATACAAAATATTGTATAAAGGAGAAGTTGACTAAAATTTCAACTGAAGGTAAAAAAAATTTAAATAACTTAAATTATGAGATGATGAACGGGTAGGATCAAGATTCAACCAATTATAATTAATTAATATTCGACGATCCTTATTAGAGGTGCATCATATTTATTTGGAGTATGAACATGTTTAAACATTAACACGTAGTTAATCACTATCCCAACACAAATAGTAACAAGGAGTAAACGAAGGTTACAGACCGCTGGGTGTTACCGCTACAAAGTAGGGTAGGGTGCCGTCTTGGCTACACTACTCCACGATATAACACACGATGAGACAGTCTCCGCATTGGTATTGCAGTTACGCTTATCGACACAGGCAGCAGCACCGGTTTGCTGTTTTCATACGTATAAAGTGCACGGGAAGCCATACCTGACTGGCTTATGGGAGAGCTGACTGGCTTTCGGGCGGGTGACTGCCACACCGAGTAAATTACCAGCGCACTGACTGCCAAACCGGGTGGGCACAAAAGTATATATTTATATATGTGTCCGTTAGCGCGATAACTCGAGCAAAATTGATCCGATTTTGATGAAATTTGGTACAAACGTGTAAACCTACATTTATTCGAACGAGTTCGCGAACCAGCATAATCGGACCATGGGATCAGGGGTTTATGGGAGGTTTTATGGGGTAAAAATGGGTTTTTCTCATTTTTGACCCTAAAAACTGTAAATTTCTAAATTTCTCTCTAGACCATTTTGAAGAGCTTAAAAAAACAAATAATTTAGTATATTGAAGTGTTTTTGAATGTTCATTGACTACGGAGAAAATTAAAAAAATTGTAAATTTAAAATTCCCATGTTATTCTTATGGAGAATAAATAAACTGTTCTAGTTTGCTTGTTTATGGATATATTTTAATCAAATTTGGCAATTTGGTTTATTTCATACTAAGCTATCAATATTTCAATTGAAAAAACACACCTTAACATCTTCCCCGTAGCAGCAAACCTAACTACTCACTAAAATTAATGTTATTTAAAAATGGAAATAAATCTGAAAATTTATAGGGAATATTTTAGTAGAAATCAAGCCGGGTAAATGGAAATTCGCTTAGTATGCAGGTTTGCTGCGACGGGGGTATTTATTTTAGTGAATGCATTGCAGGACTTAAGTAGCATTTTTGTTTTACTCTCTAGGGAGTAAAAATCGTTTTTAGCCCCTAGGGAGTAAAAATCAGTTTTTGTCAACTCATTTGCAAATTTTGATAGTGAACTAAATTCAATTGCATGTATCGAAAGTATGTATCGATTGTTTAAGAGATTGTAGTTAATTGTTGCTTATTGTAAATAATTCAACATATCGCCAGTACAATGTACACTAACACAATCGTAATAGACAAATCGTAATCAGGGCCATCCGAAGTTGTATTAACATAAGTTAGTATTACAATATGCGAATGCGCCTATTACTGCTGGGGGGGAGGGGGCGCCACGACCAGGTTTGCTCCGGGCGCCACGACCAGGTTTGCTCCGGGCGCCACGACCAGGTTTGCTCCGGGCGCCGCCAACCCTATGGACGGCCCTGATCGTAATAGATTGAATCACTTACTAAACAGCTGCTTGTTTCCATTAGCAAATTAAATTGAAAACAAGTTAGAAGTAGTTTTTAGAGATTACCTTTAAATGAAAACTATTTTAGTTTTGTAACATACTTTGTTTAAATAATGGTGCAAAATTACAAAAATATAGTTCATCAAACGGGCAAAAAGTGTCTTTTCAACCCTCCCTTATTTTCCGACCCCAGCTTCTCCTCGATCGTAAAACATGACCCACTTGAGTCACTTTAGACCCTAGTGATAAAATATACTTTTAAGATGACTGACCAGCTGAAAATAAATAACTTAAAAAATATTGTTGTAACTTAAATATTTTCTGGCCATAAACAACCTTTAAATTCCAATATTTCCAATCATTGATTAAACACCTTCAATGAGATTAGTTTATTTAGATCGGCCTTCCTCCCCCCATTACATTAGGGTGTTACTGCATCTTTTTGGCATTTAAGATTATAACCCAGGACTGTATGTATATCTGAACCATTTCTAATTAGCCTATATTGAACCAGTTTGCATAGAAACTCAATAATGGGAATTCACTAAGCAGGTTTGCTGCGAGGTATTCATAATGAGGTATATCACACCTTGTGCCGAGACTCGGACCACAGCTCCAGAGTTTCACCAAACCCCTTCACGTTGACCCATTCTATCATCATTCCCTTTAGAGTCAACAATGCTTGCAGCACCCTGCCAAGGGTCACTTGTACAATCACCACCTGAAATTGTCACATAACACTAGTTCAAAAGTTGGTTAGGTAACTATATCAAAATAAGTAAATAAATAGTCAAGGTAGTACCATAGAGCACAAGGGCTAGGTTTTTAGGATTTTTTGAGAGGATAGCAGGCTTACCTGAGTGGGAAAGAGTCCAAACTGGCACAGGAAACACAAAACTTTACACTACATATACAGAGTGATTGATATAAGTGTGCCAGCTGTTTTATTCGAAAACTATAAAAGATATCGAAGAAAGTTAAATGGTAAGTGCCTTGGATTTTTTATTTTAAAAGTTTTAGTCCAGTCGAAAAAAGTATTTTAGCCGCCATTTTTCCAATATGGCCGCCAACTTAGATTTTTTTATGGAACATTACATTATTACATTTTCTACCGGAATACATAATAAAATACAGGGTGTTCCATAAGAAAAATCACAGTTGGCGGCCATATTGGAAAAATTGCGGCTAAAATATTTTTTTCGACTTTACTTCAATTTTTACAATAAAAAATCCAAGGCACTTACCATTTAACTTATTTTGATATCTCTTATAGTTTTTTTTTAATAAAACAGCTGGCACACTTATATCAATCACCCTGTATACATGACAAAACATTAGAATATTTCACTATGACTGTGACAGCATTTTTAACTGAGGAGAGAGTTTTCTTTATTTCCAAAATGGTGGCCAGTGAGTTGTTGAGACAGTGTTGCAAATAGTCTGATAGTCCATACTATTGAGACCAGACCATTAGTCTGACTATCTAAGCAGATAGTCAATGTAAGTAGTCAATAGTAAATTTATGTAAGAAGTGGTTTGTGTGTGCTTGTCTGAAAAAGATATACGTAATAACTACCGATTCTGCATTGGCTGAAATGTTACATCAAGGTCGGGTTTAGGTATGACCCGTCTAACACAGGTAGATTTAAGTTTAAGTGCCTTTCAGGCCTTTAACTGTACAAAATAAAATGATTGAAATGATGATTTTTTTATAAATTCATTTATTGATTGAATTGTTTTACTTATATTTTGATACTGTAAATAAAATTAACATTTTCAAATGACATTGAAACCCATGTTGTGGACCAAAACCATAAAAATCAGTCATTTGTAAGAAGGATACTACTCTTGTTCAAAAACCCCTGTATGTACATTTTATCAGTAGGCCTACGGTTCAACTCTCATACTGTATCGGCTCACCCCTTGCTTTGCTAGATACATTCCACACTTGCCTGAGCTCAAGACCTATGTGGAAAAACAATGCAAGGGTAAACTAGGCTTCCACCTCGTTTTAATAAGTACCTATTTGCAGTATTTATCCGTAGGTCCTAATCGGAAAAGCATAATACCATCTAGAAAATTCTTGCTTGTTGGAGAAACAACAACTGTTAACGTTAACACGTTAAGTGCGTGGCCGGTGGCTAATGCACTGCGTGGTTGAGTGTGCAAATACGTTTAAATTTAGTTTAATCCTGGAAATGAGAGCATAAACTGTGTTCCAGTCCTTGTGGGCGTAGTTTAAAAAGACCCCAACAGATAGCAGCACTAAACAAAACCACTACGGGGCGAAATACTCAGATAGGTCTACACCATCAAAAAATACTACAAAAGAAGCGTCAAGCACAATTTTGAGGTTAGGTTCCTTCCACATTTCTTCACTACAATAATTTAATTACTGTTATTATATATTCAATTTCACTAAATCCAAGACAAAACCCCACACTACACTAAATTTGAGACAGTCCCCACCACCGATGAAATTGTCGGATCTAAAAACGGATTATACCGGATTGAAGTATTAAACTGCCACAACAAGCGGCAAGGGAAACAACATTCCCCGTGCGAGGCTGAGCTCACACTGGATCTATACTTTGGAGTTAGGAATACTGTATAGTTTAACATAGTCTGCCGTGCATGCCAGTCCTGCGCTACATTAAACAACATAGACCGCAATCAACGTGTTAATTAATAAAATGACAAATCACTCACAATGTAGGTTTATTTATTCATTTATCAACGCCAGTGTCACTGACATTTCTGTAAGAGAACGGTCAAAAACCTAGGTTGCAGCCCACCTGAGGTATGCCGTTGTCATGCATTGCCTGGTAGTCCCTGCTGATGCTCTGCTGGGTCAACCGCACCTCAGCACAAGTCACTTGTGTCGGCCCCACGGGACTGTTGCGGAACTCCCGACAGATGCTGATGTTCATGTCCTGGTACTGTCGGTCGATTGCGGCAATCAGCGTTTCCACAGCTCTGAAACAATTATCATAATTTAAATGGCGAGACCTTCCAATACAAAAACTACTTTACCAGTTATTTTTTTTTTCAAGTTAAGGGTCAAAACAATCGATATTATTTGCATCTAAAGTACAACCCTAGTAGACCATCAAAAAATGGCCATGGGACCAGGACCATGGCTGGAACATGAAAAAGGATGGATTAGCCGAGGAGCAGCATTTTCAGAATTTAGCCGCGATCACAGGAGACGATTATGATGTTTCTGTACTGAGGAGATATTCAGCAGTTTGCCGATAACAACGATAAGGTTTCCGTGACAGCAGGAGAAATGAGTCCTGAAATGAGACAATGATGATGTCCCTACAAGTTAGGTAGACATTCAATATTATTCTGCGACCACCGAAAACAATGACAATTATTTCCATGACCACAGGATTTTTCAAAGATTTTACATTTGCGGAAGGGAATGATAATGTTCCTTTCCCGCAGGAGGCGGTTAATATTTTATCTCGATTACGGTATACAATGACAATGTTTCTGTTACTGCAGGAGATATCCTAGATTAGGTCACTATGGTGGGGAATAACGATAACATTTGGGTGGTCACAGGAGACGCCGTTACTGCAGAACATACTCAGGTTTCTACCACCATTGAGGAAAACTATGACAATGGTCAACAAGATTTTTTTGCTGCGATAGCGTGAGACAGTGATGATTGCTTATACAACATATGTTTTATGGCAATAAAGTGATATTATTATTATTATTATTATTAACAACGGAAAATGGTCACGAAATTACCACGATAAGATTGTCACTGATAGGCAATGCCAGGGTCAGATTATGTTAGGAGTCAGACTAGCCGAGGTCGGGTTAGCAGGGTTCTACTTTAATTTTACGGATCCACTTATGTCCTGCAAACTCACCAACTGATTAAACCCAGAGTATGTACAGTCCGTCTTTTAATAACCCGGCAGTCCAAATGTTTCACAAGTTAAAAAAAAAACTCTAGATAATTTACAACACCAATGGAAAACTAAGGAACTCATTAGCCTAAGTACATGATAAAATCTAGCCTTTGCCATGATTAAATCCACAAAGGCAAATTCATGAATGCTACCTACTGTATAGGAACGTTATGCGCACTCGTGGGTGTGCGTCGTCTCTTGCTGCTATTAGCTCCTGTGTATGATCGCTTCAGAGAGTTCTGGTTCAACAACTGCGTGGCCAAACTGCTGTACTCGTGAAGCTGAAAAGGGAAAATTTTAAATAAGTTAATTTAGATGTTGATATAGGTCTCGGAAAAAATTGATTTTACATTAGGCCTACCAGTAAATATCTTTGTTAATAGATTTTGTATTAGACTCAACACATGTAGGCTTAATTACAGTAGGTGTATGTGTTAACAACACTAAAACCACTAACTTAACCAAAATAGTAAATTATAACTACTAATATAATACCGTATCCTAAAACACTTGCCTTATCCGTCCACTTGTAGCTTAGAACCAGTTGGCTGTATAAAGCCAGACGATCATGGGTACATTCCTGGCTGAGGAAGCTGGTATTACCCAGACTAAAGGGACCGGGCGGTTGTGATAGACCATTCACTGCTTGTTCTACATCCCTGAAAACAAAAGTAAATTATTTTAAAATCAAAGCTACGGTACATGTTAAAAACCTTAAAAATTAGAGCCATCAAGGATCTAAGGATGCATCGAAAGACCTTTAAGTCTAGAGCGGCAATAAACGGCAACTTAATTCCACGTTCACCACCTTCCAGGTCTTCTAGAAGATTCGTCTGTTAACATTACTAAAAACATCATGCATAAATTCAAATCGTCAGCGACCCTATTGTAAGTAACCATGTTACTTGACAGTTAAGATAATTGTCAGAAGCAGGGATGAACATCGAAAGGCATTGTTTTATACATTGATGGTAGGTTACCGATGTTTTTGTAACATGGATGTTTTTCCCATAACTGAATTGTAAGTTTTTCTGGATTAAATGTTGGTCAATAGAATTTTCCTATAAATTATTCTAATTGATTAAAGGCTGATAAATATCAAATCCAAAAATATTATTACCGCGGACTGGACTAGACTTGGGCTAGAGTAGAGCTTGAGAGTGAAATAACTCTACATTGTTGAGGTGCTTGTTAAAATGTTGCAAAAAACAAAAAACCAATTCACAGTAGAACCCCTCATATCGGACCTCGGAAAAACCGAATCCTTGTGTCCGACAGTCTACTTGTTTCCTGTCTTGGACAGATCACGGATGTTGCCGTAATCGCAGAGACTGCAAGTTATCTATGCTCATGGGTGTTGCCGCGGTCACATGAGATGATTACCGAAGTCGTGGAAACTGCATGTTAGGTATGCTAACGTCTGTTGCCACGGTCGCAGGAGATGATTACCAAAGTCGCAGAGATTGTAGGCTATCGCTATTCTCCTCCAGACATGCTTTGGGCTGTTCCGACCATGGCCCGGTCCTGTTATGGTCGGATATGAGGGGTTCTACTGCAGTTGTAATAAATTTGCACTCCTGCTCCGGCATAATCAATTAGGACCTAGGCCTATACCTATTTTTAGTCTTGCAAATGTGAAAGAGAAACTGCCACTCTAGAATGACTAGAAAGTACCGTACTTTAGTGTAAGCTAGGTTAATTAGCTGAGACAGAAAGCAGACGAATAACTCAAAAAGAAAAAGAAACACAATTAAGCCTATCAATGCTTTTGCCCTGAAAACAATGTTTTAGTTACAGTGTTATGGGTAAATCGTTGGTTGATCAATGTCCCCATCAATGGTGACTATCAATGGTTCACCTATCGATGCTTATCCCAAGTCAGAAGAGCCAGAGGTAAATTATTAAAATAAAAGTAGCCTAAAGTGGGGCCTAATTTATGCCTTAATATGATGCCAATTGAATGAAAATGTAGGTTGCTAAGGTCTTAAAGGTTTTCGAACCTTTAAAATGCATTAGGCCCTATATAACATTTGTCTCCATACATTTTTTAATTCAATATATATGTAGGCCTAGGCCTACATTTGTTTTGAGAATATGTTATTTTATACATTCAGCCCTAGTTAATGTCTATTTACTTAGGCCTACCTAAGATGGTTATTAACAGATGACAAAAGATCTTGAAGTTCCAACAAAAACTTATTTTCTTTGCCGTCTTCTCCATGATCAGCCCGCAAACCATTGGAAAGACTGCTGAACACTTGGCCAACACTGGATCGCAGAGTTTTAACAGCACTAAGCGCAGTATAAAGGTTTTCCATTATCTCTTGAGCTGCAAACAATAACAAAATGTAAGCATACGGTATTTAATCTTGAGGTTTTGCTAGATTGTTTCAATTCAAATAATCTTTATTTGTTTGTAGCAAAGAATACATATAGGCTACATAAGTAAAATAGAGTCAAATACAATCAATGTAAGTTAAGCTAATTATTCAAAGAGCTATTGAGCTATTGTCAGTTGAAGATACTAAAGTAATCTTCAAGTAATTCTTTAAGTTATTCTTAGGTTACTTTTTTTAAATTAACTTTTAACCTAACTTATCTCAAGAAGTAACAAAAAGGTTCAGACTAGCCTACTAAGGTTTCAAAATATTGTTCACAGAGAATAAGTACCGTAGGCTAACTGTCTACTGGAGGGAATACTGTAAACTGGAGCAGTTAGGTAGTTAGGTAAGTTAACTGGCTGCACTTTACTTTAGGTCCTACACTCATTCGAATGAAAATATTGATTATTCGATTGTTTCATTCGATATATCGTTTGGTTAGTTAGGTTAGGTTAACCTTACCTAACTAACCAAACGATATATCGAATGAAACAATCGATTAATCAATATATCAATCGATATTTTTCATTCAAATGAGTGTAGGACCTAAAGTAAAGTGCAGCCAAGTTAACTTAACACAGAAAAACTTAACAACTTAACTTACCGGTAACTTAAGAACTAATAGAACTTCAAAAACAAGACTGTTAATATCAATTCACCCTTGATAACAAATGCCATTTTCAGGCATTTTCCCTTGATTGTGCACCCCTAGGCCTAATCATGCTATTAAAGACCTCGGTAAGAAGCCCATATCTTAATAACAAGTCTTTGCTACCAAAGTTCTTCTACAATGCATAGTCACTAATATACATGCAAGTAAATTGTTTTCACTCACTTATTTCTTTTAGGGATCAGTTTGACTAAGTTAAAAGAGTTCAATGACAATAAGCTTAATAATTTGATGTCAAAGATTGGCTTACCATTTCTTTGATTATTCAAACATTGCCAATTTCCCATTTGATATCTTTGCATTGATGAATACATGTTTTAACAAGTAACAGTTCAATTCAGTAGTATTATTAAACATACATTAATATACACTCTTTCAACGGGTTTATTATCAGAATTATTTGTAACCTGGAGAAAGGTTCAACTTGGCAGAGGTCTCAGCTCAGCTAATACTAGATTGAAACAGCTCTGGCACTTCAAAACAAGAAGAGCATGCACATTCAGTAACTTATAACTGATAAGGGCCATGAATTGACTGATAAAATCGAGACCTAATTAAGATAGGCCTGTGAATAGAGAACTCAAATTACCAACCTTTCAATTTCAACCCACTTGAGAGGCTTTAGTATCACACCTTCACACCATAAGAACTAACTGTAAATGTCCTCTCGATATAATATTTTTAAGTGTCGTAAAATAATTACTTTATGTCTAATACTTTAAATACTACTTAAATTGTATGTGCTTTAAGTAATTGCGAAGTTTTCAGAGGCAGAGGATAGATATTTTTGTGATGATGTATGTGTTGTTGTTGTTGTTGTTGAGGTTAAGCTTGGCGAATGGAGACAAGACAAAACTGACTTTTTGTTTTTGCAGTGTTGCCATTGCCGTTGTATCAAAACCGAATATCCCCGAAACAAGAAAGATTCCCATGTTATTCATAGATACCATTGATTACAGAGCTGTAGCTACTGTAAAATCAGCATATATTAAACACGCAGTATCACATTTGGGGAGCACGCCTTACCCTTGACGCTAAGGCGATCAATTATATTTGTAAATACGTTTATAAGCTTGATTTACGACAGTTAGTGAAAATGTTGGACCTTTTAAACAATCCGATCGTCGCTATGTTTGATGGTGTGGATATTTAATTAATATATAATTGTTGATGCTATACTCCCTGGTGTGGGTGAACGTCCACACTAGTGAGTACTATGACTATCCGCAGTACTATCTTAATAATTAGACCAATTCGTTAATTACAAGGAAAAATGTTGTTTGGATTCCACCTTACCTAGATAAAACATACTCCAAGGGAGTATGTTTCATCTATGATTCCACTATAAACTGTAGGTCCCTTAGTTGCCATTAGCAGTATGGGTTATTAACTAACAGCTGTGTCTAAGGAACATGTCGGCCTTAGTCACTAACATGTAGCACAGATGGTTGGGCCAACGTTGGTAAATTGTGGAGCCACACAGTTGGCCAAAGGTAGAAATGTCACCTCTTTAAACTGTTTTCCAACCAACCATTGCCCAACAATGGCCCAACCATCCAAACATACTGATGGCCAACTAACCACAACTGATATCCAACCAACCGTTTTATTTCACACAAAATAATAAAGATTTAGTATGAAAAGCATAATTATTAGTTGAGTAAATTGATTAAATAGTTCATAAAAACAAATTTTGAAAAAAAGCTAGAACAAAATTTTTGACCCAGACGGGTCTCGAACCCGGGTCCTTCGTCTTATGAGCCTCTTACCTTACCACTGAGCTATCTGTGATTGTTGATATAGAGAGTTTTCAAGTGGTCAAAGAGTAGCCGACAGTTGCAATGGTCGCAATACTTAAATTATTTTTGATACTACACAGTATAATATGATTCTGTTAATCTGTTAAAGCATCATAAGTAGTTATTATTTTATTTTTTATTTTTGGGAGTTAGAGAGGATACTGGTATTTGAATATAGATTAATTAATTACCGTTAGATTATTAACGCTATTATAATTGACTGTTATATGATTAATTACTCTTTCTCCTTAAATTGTTGCAAATAAGTTAAAGAATATTAATTTAAAAAATATTTGCATTATTATAATTATGTTGTGAAAGCTAGACCCAGAGAATCGAAAGTCGTGTAAACTCAACTATGGACCATCGTTGGTCCAACAAAAGATACGTTGAACGGAGTGAAAAACGGTTGGACAACGGTTGGCTTGATGTATGATACCCAGCAATGCATATTAATGTTTTTTCATTAACAATGAACCAATTTTGGTCCACAGTTGTAAATATTGGTTGGCCCAACTACGAGATATACAGTTGGACAACGGTTGGTTGGTTGTGGAAGCTCCAACCAACCATCGACCAACGGTCCCACAGTTGGCCAACGTTGGCCCAACCATCTGTGCTACATGGGAAGACTACAACATCGCGCCACTCATCCTTAACTCATATTTGGGTTAAAATACGCACGTACTGGTTTCCCCATCTTAAATGATTGATTGATTTGGTCTTGGTCTACAATAAAACAAAGAAAAGGAAACACCTAATTATTATCTCACAAGGATAAAACTTTGATATCCAACTCCTTATTTGTACTATCGAACATAAAAGGGGAAAAGCCACAGCATTTTCAAATTGGAAATTAAACTACTACTGTACGAGTTAAATTGAGACAATGTTATATATTATATATATTTGAATTCCTTATTAAATTCCGAATCGATTGGTGTAAGCCCCACGCATGTATGATTTGTTTTGTTAAAGTTATAGGACTTGAAATTTTGTTTTGGAAAAGGGTCATTTTGAGAAAAACTGATTTGAAAATTACAAATACGCATAAAAACGGTGTTTTTCGTATTTTGGTATCAAAAGAAAGCTTTTAATGTCCTCTTTGGAAGCAATACAAATTTATGTCTTAACTTACGGTAGTTTTCATTTAAATAATTGTTTTATTGAAGCATGTCGTAAAAATCACATTTCAGAAAAGGGACCTCTTGTCGGATGTTATTTCTCCATAAGATAAGAAAAGGTAACTCTTGTTGGGACTGCAAAATTTGTGAGATATTTTGTTCTATGTGAACTGAACTTTGTTGTTGTTCTCAAAATGTCCACTAGAATGCAGGACAATTCATTTTTTGGACTAAAATCTGTTTAAAAAATGAATATTAGATATGGGACCTCTTGTCGTTATGGCGAAATAACATTGAGTGACAAGAGGTACCTTTTCTCAGACCGTGCAAAGGCTAAGAAAATTATTTATTTCGACCTTTTGCATCTTCAATTTCATATTTAAACCGATACTGTCATGATCTATGTTAAATGAGGTATAACAATCGATAAAAACCCAAAATTCTATATTTTCTACCTTAATTACTTAAATATTGGCCGTACTGAAAATGTTGCATCTCCAATAAGAGGTCCCTTTTCGCTTACCACATCACATATAAAAAAATCAGTAGTTTTAATATTTAAATTCTTTCTATTCAAATAAATCTGGATGAAATTATTTTATAATTCCAGGATTTGACCAATTTACTATAGTAAGAAGAATTTGTTTTGTTCCCTCTTATTTACAGTGTTTGATTTGATAGTAATCCAGCTTCCATTTTTTAATGGGTAAATTCATGGCCTCCTCTAATACAAGGCCGATTTGGAGACAAAAGTGGCAAAACCGCCGCAGCAGCCAGTACCATATAGTCCCGGCCTACCGAAACCGCCGTTGCACTAATTAATTGTTCAGCGTCAGTGCAATGTTAATGTTTATACATTATACATTCGTTATTACTGTTAATACCATACCATGGCCTACCGAGGCCATGCTGCCGCGCGGGCAGCGCAACACTACGTTACAGTGGTGGATAGTTGTGCTAAAATTTTACCGTTAACATCTGACAAACAGCCAGCTTATTTACGTGAAACATATGTGATGATATTGTAGTTAATCCATCAACCTATCCACTAGTGTGACGTCATGGATCCTGCAGCATGGCCTGTTCTTCTGTACCAGTGCGAAGTTGCCACACTACAAGACCGCGGCCTTGTATTAGAGGAGGATTTATCTGTTATTTTATTGTATTATTGGTATTTTACAATAGGCTACTTCCTACGTGTTTCATTTTTTCCAACATCTTGTTGTACGGTCACTGGCAAATAAATGTAGACATTTATTTTGCGATCCATTGATAAAAAAATAGCAAGCCCTATCACACTCCTCAATTTACTCTGTTTTTACTCTCTCCAAATTAAGGGTCACTTTTGGATCTTTATTTGACTTTTGAAGCTTTATTTTACAGTATAAGTTCAGGATTTATGTCCATCTGCCTGACGAAAAAGTTGCCTATCTGATGTCCCCAACATGTGATGTTATAGTCCTCAATAGACCCCCTCGTTTAAGAAATATAATTATTTTTTTTAGTTATTATTTTTTTTTAATTATAATACGTTGATTATAATTTGATTTTACTGAAAGGTAGAGTAAAACCATTGTAAAACCCATATTAGTATTACAGAGTGCAGGGTTTGCAATGAATTTTAAAATTTGAAGGATTAGAAAAAACACATAAAACAGCTACACATAAGCTTTATTACAAAAGTGGGAAAATAACATACTTCAGTAATTGTTACATGACGTGTATTTTATTTATAAATTTACACTTAAAACTAACAAATTACACTGGCTATGTATAAAATATGTTACACACAACTGCGTACTAAGAGCCATTTAATAATTGTACTCGAGAGGGAATGAGTGCTGAAGGTTTAATTTCATAATTTTGGTCCTTCAATTGTTTGTAAAACAGAATTTAAACTAAAAATAGTGTTTTAAATGGCTCTATCAAATCCATATATATATATATATATATATATATTACAGTTATATATATAATACTATTACTCTAGCTTTGGATTAATATGTACAAAAGTATATTTTGATACTTTGACCCGCAATAAAGAATTGCTGAAATTGAACAAAGTATTTAATTTTTGAGCAATAAAATTGTACACTACAGCACAACAAGTTTGAAATCACAAAAAAAAAGTACTGTATAGGCCTTAGTTATAATGTTAATTTTGTCACCATACCCAACTTTGGAAGCATGGTATAAGATTGAAATCCTTATGCACCAAGTTATAAAGACAGCATTTTTTGTTTTTATACGGTTTTAGCGAATTTCCCATATCCCTAGTAGCACAAATATATATTAAATACATATGAATAAATATATTTAAAATCTATTTTATATATCTCAAGTGTGTATTAATGTCAATTTTATATAATATTTAAAGTATATTAAATATATAAAAAATATGTTTTTGAATCTATTAAATATTAAAAAAATATGTTCCAATAATATATTTTAGTGAATAATATTTAAATAAAAAATGTATTTAATATCACTTTCAAACATCCCATGGGGCCTAAACATAAAAACCCATAATAATAAAGATTTAGTATGAAAAGCACGATTATCAGTTGTGTAAATTGATTAAATAGTTCAAAAAAACAAATTTTGAAAAAATTATTGGATACAATTTTTTCGGCTCGGACGGGTCTCGAACCGGGGTCCTTCACCTTATGAGCCTCTTGCCTTACCTCTGAGCTATTTATGACTGTTGATAGGATCAGTTTTCAAATGATGAAAGAGTGGCCGTCAGTTGCAATGGTTGCAATACTTGAAATATTTTTGATACCGGTACTACAGTATAATATGATTTTATTAATCTGTTTTGGCATCAAGTAGTTGAGTTAAATAGTGCTGTAGTGAATAGTGAGTAGTCTCCACGAATACAAATACAGTAAACTACAAAAACTAATTTAAATACTATGACAAATATTATGTAATTTATGGCATACGTAAATCAAATAATTATTTTTAGAACGTCATATGCAACCGTAATTAGTTTCTTAAAAGGTCGCCAGCCACTAGCACCCTTTTCTAGCCAATTATTCGAGATTTCTATGATCACATTCATTGTCACATATTGCAATTAAAAAAATAAAACCCATCAACACTTTTTTCGTTTGACCCACATGTAGCTATCGAACATGTATACCTCCTCTTAACTATATGCGTAATCTTTTCTTTACGTGCATGATAGAGTGACACCATTCAGAGTATGTATTATTATTTAGTTAATTTTAACGCTTTCACAATGGCAATTATCATACAAAAAATGCATTTATAAATTGATGGACACTATAAAAAACAAAAAGATGCAAATTATTTATTTGCTAATTATAAAAGATTATAGGCTATATATATTCTACAAATATATTATTATTTTATTAATAAAAATATCTGACGTGTTTCAAAATATATTTATAAATACTTTAAATATAGGGCCTATAATATAGTTTAAAAAATATTTTATATATATATTTAAAATATTCTCAACACATAATTTATAAAAATATTTAATAGGAAAAATATACATATAAAATATGTATATTGTAGATTCTATACTTATTTGATCAATATATATTATGAATATATTTTATATATTCAAAACTTATATTTAATTTATATTTTGCATTGCTTTTTGGTAATATTTTAAATATATATTTGAATATATCAAACTATTATTAAATATATATTATTTATATATTTTATTCGAGGTTCTATCAAATACATCTTTAAATATATAAAATATTTATAAAATACATATTTGTGCTACTAGGGATAGGGAATAAGCTATTACCGTAGTACTCATGGTAAGACCTGGACGTGGGACCGATTTTTTTTTTCATTTTGAGGTCCCTAGAGGCCAAAAACACCATCCGTTCAAATTCATATATATATATATATTTATATATTTATATATATATTAAATATTTAAGTAAATAAGTACAACTGAGCACCCTGATATATTCAGGGTGCTCAGTTGTACTTATTTACTTAAATATTTAATATATCAGCAGCCTTAAAGTGAACACCTAAATTAAATTATATATATATATATATATATATATATATATATGTGTGTCCGTTAGCACGATAACTCGAGCAAAAATGATCCGATTTTGATGAAATTTGGTACAAACGTGTAAACCTACGTTTATTTGAACGAGTTCGCGATCCAGCATGATCGGACCATGGGAACGGGGGTTTACGGGGGGTTTTATGGGGTAAAAATAGGTTTTTCCCATTTTTGACCCAAAAAACATAAAATTTAGCAATTTCTTTCCGAACCATTTTGTAGAGCTTAAAAAAACAAATAATTTAGTATATTGAAGCGTTATTATGCGCCTAATGGTTACGGAGAAAATTCCAAAAAATTGTAAATTTAAAATTCCCATGTTATTCTTATGGAGAATAAGTAAATTGTTGTAGTTTGCTTGTTTATGAACATATTTTGATCAAATTTGGAAAATGTTTTTATTTCTTACTAACTATTAACGTTTTACAAAAAAAAAACAGTTTTACCCTCCCTGATGCAGCAAACCTAAGTACTAGTTAAACTAATTATATTTAAATAGAGAATAAATGTTATATTTTTAAGTAGACATTTCAGTGTAAATCCAATCAGTCAAATGGAAATTCGCTTAGTCTGCAGGTTTGCTGCGGCGGGGGTATTTTTAATGTTACACGAGTCCTCTTCCTCTATATAGAGTCTGTGTCGTGGTGTTTATAAAAAACGTAAGTTTAAACATTTCTTGTTCTATGTGTTTTACACTAGCACATTCAATCTGCATATAAATATTTCTACCCAGAAACAGTCTTTATCTTTGTACTATACTAGGATGTTCAGTATTATTTTTGGCTCGTCATATAGTACAAACATGTTTAATTGAACTTAAGTAAACAAAACGGCATTACAATTAACTGTAGTCTTTGGAATAACAATAAGTTTGAAGTTTGACAATTTACAGAACGACATTGCTCCAACAATCTACTCACATAATGATATCCAGTTGACTTTGTTTAGTTGAAAAATCTGCTTATTACCTTAATGGTCGTTGTCTTGGATGCATCATTGACTTTAGATACACTGCCAAGATTATTGTAAAGGTTGTACCATTGTTTATCCAAGTACTGTGCATAGTTTAAACCACTGATAGTGTCCAGATCAACCACAGTTTATCTGCGACTGAGTTTTTAGCTACACGGTCAAGAAGAACCACTAAATGTAAACAAAAGTCTACATCTTGCAAAATTAGTTTCACTCATAAGATCCCCAGATCTCATTAGGTCTGGTTCTATTCATTGTCAATAATTGCACAATTCCCCATTGAATCAGTAAACAAGCAATTTATAAACAAAATGGGAAAAACCTTTTCAAGGCTGAGAAGTCGTTATCATTAGTTTGTTTTCCTCTTTTTTTACCGTGAATCACAGATTCTTGGTGTCGTCACAAAAATATAACCTAAAATCATTGCCTGAAAACTGGGTATGACTTCCTCATTCACGCTGAACTCTCAGGAAACCCCATTTTCAACATCATGCCACTTCTGACAACCATTCATTCATTTACTCTGCCTTTGTATCTTTTTGTTCTTTCTGCTTTCGCAGCTGTTGCATTCTCTCTGGATAGGCTTTGTTGTAAAAGTCGTTGAACAGATAGTAGAAGAAGATTGCGTTAGGAAGGATGAAGAAGAGGGAAAACCGTGGATATTCACAGTCGTAGATCAGCAGCTGGAGGGAGTGGACGAAGGCTATGCAAAACTGGGCCTGGAAAAGTTAATAATAAATAGAAACTAAACTGTATACATACATTGTTATACATTTATCAATGTATGAGTAACATTGTTACTTATAAATTTGTCACGGCAATTGATGCAGACAAATATTGTGTATATAATTAAGTGACTCAAGAACCATAGAGTTTGGATGGAGCATTATGTGTTCCAACTGAGAAAAAATGCATCGTTAGAGCATTTACCCTTAGCCCTTGTGACATGGACATTGATAAAATTTAATTTACATCAAGAACAATCGCTTAACCATCCAGCAGTTTGCATTGGACAAGGCGGTGAAGAATCAAAATGTTTCTTCGATCTCTCCCCGTGGAGGCAAGGGCAGTAGGAAAATCAAATGCAGGATGGTTGTGAAGATCCACAGGGTGTTTTTAGGCCCATATAACAAAAACCGTGAGAAACTGTTTAGCGACAAAGCAAGCTAGAATGTTGGTTTGGTATCCCTGTTTTCTTTACTTCAGTGCCGATCAGCTGATATGCATTTTTGCTACGAGGTTTTGTGTTATTAGAAATTTATTGTGCTCAACATGGTGTTTTCCTAAGCTCAAAGAGTATGATTGTAGAAGAATATTACAGTAAATTCAGTAAATCATTTGCCTTATGCAAGAAAGGTTTGAAATTAAATTTCGAAGTTTGATTCCAGTGCCTAAAATCAACTATTAATATACTTGTCAAAATTGGAAACCGGAACTGTATAAAACAAAAACACATACCACTAGATTGTTGTAAAAATGCAACAGTGCATCAGCTGATCCACAATGAGTTAAAGGAAACAGGGATACCAACATTGCATGTTTTGTCGTTAAACGGTGATTCACGGTACATGTAGTTTGGGTTGCGTAGAAAATGTTCCAATATATAATCCAATATATTCAATATAGTATGTCCAATCTACTATTTAATGACACTGACAAAGGTACTCAAAATCCTGCAAATGAGATATAAAATGAAAAGTTGATCAATGTACTGATACTAACCAGCTGAAGCGTGGTAATATACTTCTTCCACCACAGGTAAGGGTGTAACTTGGGCCCCAGAGCTGCTAGCAGGTAGTAGGTATACATGATTATATGCACGAAGCTGTTGATCATTCCGATGAAGCTGCCATGGCCGCCGGGGTAATACTTGGTGGCGCCCCACGAGATCATTGGCATCACTGTGTGGTGATACAGGTGCAGGAATGTCACCTGTTTGTCCTTCTTGCGTAGCACAAAGAACACCTGTAAACAGCTGATTGTAATAATTGTGGTTGTAGGCGAACCAAGGGTTGGTTCCTAGGCCTGTAGTCCAGGATCTGAAGGGGGTTGAGCATGCATGAAAAGGGTGACGCAATTTTATTTCTGATTGTTGTTATAGGCACTATATTGATCACGAAAACGCATGTCGTCGCCCCCCAGCGTGGTCGACAACCCGGGGGGGAGGGGGGCAATATGGCGGGGGGCGCCGTTTACTAAAACGCCTATAACTCGAGAACTATTCTAGGTAGAACATTGCAATAAACGTCAATTTACTCATAAAATTATGATCTTTAAAAATGTTAATGTAGTGAAATTCGTATCTTTGATGGTTTTTTAGTTATTTTACATTGAAGCTAAAAATCAATATGGGGTTATGGGGTTAAAATAGGGTTTTCCCATTTTTGACCCTAATAACCAAACAATTTGCAATTTATTTCTTAACCCATTTTGTAGAGCTTAAAAAAAGAAATAATTTAGTATAGCAAAGGGCTGTTGTATGCCTAACGGTTATGGATATAGTTACAAAAAATTAAATTCAAAATGCCCATGTTATTCTTACGGAGAATCAAAAAAACGGTTGTAGTTTGCTTATATATGGATATATATTATAATCAAATTTGGCAATTTTGTTTATTTCATACTAAGGTATCAACATTTCAATATAAAACTCACCTCAATACCTTCCCTGTAGCAGCAAACCTAGGTACTCATTATAATTCATTTGATTTAAATAGGAAATAAAGCTGACAGTTTTCAGGGAATATTTGAGTATAATATAATATTGAGTCTGCAGGTTTACTGCAGCAGGGGTACTTTTTAAAGCAACCGAAATTACAAGTACCAAGAGACACCTTTTAAGGATAAACATAGCTTTTATGTTTGTAGATCTATGAATTTAAAAAATTGATGAAAAATAAGGAAGAAATTAGAGGAAAAACTGTTCATTACTTAGGTTATTTTTACTTTACAATTAAATTTCAATATAATTGCTGGGACATTTCATGATAGTATCATGAGATATCAAAGTGTTGTAGGTTATATTATTTCACATACCGTACCTTTAGTTTGACAATATGGGCTGCAATGTTGATAACAGTGACCGAAACTACAAAAGGAGTTTGAATGCTGTATAAAATAATTTCCTTTAGAATAACGAACAAAATATACTATATATAAAAAAATTCTTTTTATTTTAACAAACTATATTTACAAGTATTGTAATAGTTATACACGTCTTAATACAATTAAAAATATTGTAGATTAAAAATACTTCTTAAAGGTAAATTTGTCATCTTTGTAGATCATCTGGTACCAGAGGTGTGTTTTTATTAAATAAAATTTGTTTCTTGTTATTTCAGATATTTTTAAAACTTATGAAGCCAAATAAATCAATATACCATAAACAATAGCTCGTCCCTTTTTTTCATATCCGAAAAAAGCAGTCATCATAAAATCAACCGTAAAACAATAGAAATACAATTTTGTTGACACTAGCGCCCAGTGTCGCCAACATGAACTAGATATGAACAAAGCTTTAGAATTAACATTGAGATGAGAAGTCTACTTGTGTTCGTTAGTCTATGATATTATTCACAATAAATTTCCATAACACTAAACCGTGTTGGAAATACGAGTGGACCTTGTGTATGATCGATACAGTAACATCAGTACATCACTTAAAAATGGGGAAAATGATTTGAGAAGTTCAGGAAAGTCACCATTGCTTATCAAAATGCACAGCGATTTAACCAAGATACCAAAACAGTGGCCTTGTTACATAGCGTTTCCCGAAAACAAAAGAAACCTTGTAAAGTACATATCGGATTACATAATCCATAACATAACCGTCCCTGTTGAAAAACAATTTTTTGTATCAGGTAGTTTTGAAAATGAAAATAACTGTTATGTAAAATCAGAAGACCAACTAATAAAAGACTATGCAACCCTAAATTCCAATCAGAACGAAGCAGATACCAGGATCTTCCTTCATGCATATGACTCATTGCGAAATGGGAAAGGTGTAAACCTTATAATTCACAGCCCAGACACAGACGTGTTTGTATTAGCGGTTTCATTCTGGCATTATTTTAAGGATATTGGCTGTCATACCTTGTGGTTAGTAGCTGGCACTGGAGAAAGGAAAAGGGCTCTGGGATGTCATTTAGCTTCCTAACTAGGAACCTAGCTAACTAGGTACTAAAAAGTATGCTTTCAACTTAGCAAAAAAATCAGAATTTGTCTTAGATACGCTCCACCTGTTATATAAACAAGACCTAGATGATGCTCAACTTCGACAACTAGAAGTTCTATACTTAAAAATTATTAAGAAAAAGGGAATTACTTGTGATGAAAGCCGATATATTCATTTCTTGTCATCCCCATCAGCAGTAAATTACATTGGTTGTTTGCCATGCACATTCCAACTCATCCGCCATCATATCCTTCGGTGCACCGCTCAACTGTACTATTGGCAAAATTCCACTATTCCATTTGTGGAGCCTTTAGACTTGACACAATTTGGTTTTTTCTTGGATGATAATAAGACATTAAAGCCCCTATTGATGACAAAGCCAGCCATACCAGACACTTTAATCCCACCTTGCTCGTGTAAAAACTGCAAAAAAACGTCTTGTATATGCTTTGTAAACCATTCATCTTGCTGTAGTTATTGCACTTGTAAGGACAATTGCAAAAACCCACTAACTAAAATGTATTCTGAAGAAGAAGAATAAGTGTAGTTACATATATTGTGTAATGAACGAGAGAAAAACTCAAGTTACAAACATACAACTTCATTAAACAAATTTTTAATGGGAAATGATGTATTAAGACGTGTATAACTATTACAATACTTGTAAATATAGTTTGTTAAAATAAAAATAATTTTTTTTATATAAAGTATATTTTGTTCGTTATTCTTAAGGAAATTATTTTATACAACATTCAAACTCCTTTTGTAGTTTCGGTCACTGTTATCAACATTGCAGCCCATATTGTCAAACTAAAGGTACGGTATGTGAAATAATATAACCTACAACACCTACAATAATATAACCTATAATCACAATGTCCCCGCATTTATATTTAAATTTAGTTGTTAAGTAAAAATAACCTAAGTAAAGAACAGTTTTTCCTCTAATTTCTTCCTGATTTTTCATAAATTTTTTTTATTCATAGATCTACAAACATAAAAGCTATGTTTATCCTTAAAAGGTGTCTCTTGGTACTTGTAATTTCGGTTGCTTTAAAAAGTACCCCTGCTGCAGTAAACCTGCAGACTCAATATTATATTATATTCAAATATTCCCTGAAAACTGTCAGCTTTATTTCCTATTTAAATAAAATGAATTATAATAAGTACCTAGGTTTGCTGCTACAGGGAAGGTATTGAGGTGAGTTTTATATTGAAATGTTGATACCTTAGTATGAAATAAACAAAATTGCTAAATTTGATTATAATATATATCCATATATAAGCAAACTACAACCGTTTTTTTGATTCTCCGTAAGAATAACATGGGCATTTTGAATTTAAGTTTTTTTAACTATATCCATAACCGTTAGGCATACAACAGCCCTTTGCTATACTAAATTATTTCTTTTTTTAAGCTCTACAAAATGGGTTAAGAAATAAATTGCAAATTGTTTGGTTATTAGGGTCAAAAATGGGAAAACCTTTTTTAACCCCATAACCCCATATTGATTTTTAGCTTCAATATAAAATAACTAAAAAACCATCAAAGATACGAATTTTACTACATTAACATTTTTAAAGATCATAATTTTATGAGTAAATTGACGTTTATTGCAATGTTCTACCTAGAATAGTTCACGAGTTATAGGCGTTTTAGTAAACGGCGCCCCCCGCCATATTGCCCCCCTCCCCCCCGGATTGTCGACCACGCTGGGGGGCGACGACATGCGTTTTCGTGATCAATATAGTGCCTATAACAACAATCAGAAATAAAATTGCGTCACCCTTTTCATGCATGCTCAACCCCCTTCAGATCCTGGACTACTGGTATTGTTCAACGGTGCGGCGGCCAGTGCTTTATTAATGGGACCAGGGTGAACAATAGCGATAATAATAGTCATTGTTTAGTATTATAAATAAAAACAGAGGCTGTTCCATAATATCACATCGTATTTGTTGTATTTGCGATATTGATGAAAATTGCATGTAAGTACTGGGCTCCATATTCCCCTTGGAAACTCAGGCGAGCGACAGTTCTGTTATAACAGACTAGACTCCGCAGTTAACAAAACCTAGCTAGACACGTATCTAACTCTTGGTTAGTCATTTTAGGCTATCGAAAACTTAGGAGCTCTATGCGTTCAATAACTCATACGTCAATGTTTATTTTCTTGATGACTTAATATTTTAAAGCTTCTATTTGAACTTTTGCTATAAAGCCACTAAATTGTATTTAAACTTATCTCGAATGGATTAATGATTTTACACTCCATTATTGGTGTACAGTAATTGGATTGCACAAACGTCACCTACCGTATCCAAAAGTTCGGTGAGTTTAGCCAGGAAGTAGATGTAGAAACCGCGGGCGACTCTAAGAGCGGGGGGTGTCCAAGACCAGTCGACAGGCTCACACTTCCAACTGTAGTTGTACAACCATGCACCATCCAGGGCCTGCGAACAAGTACTATTTCAAGTGTTCATCTTCACTACTGTAATCAGACTCTAAGAGCGGGGGGTGTCCAAGACCAGTCGACAGGCTCACACTTCCAACTGTAGTTGTACAACCATGCACCATCCAGGGCCTGCGAACAAGTACTAGGTCAAGTGTTCATCTTGACTATTGAGGAGACAGGAGACAGGTTCCATAATACCGACTAAAGAGCACTCTGTCAGGGGCTCAGTTCAACTTCCTAAATCTAGCCACAGTTCTAGCATGGTAATAGAATACCTAGTTCCTGCTGTGGTATACGATAGTACATACCTCCCAGAACAGCCAGACGCTAACGAGAACTTGTAGGAAGTTGTAGACTATGAGGATGTTGGTCAGCCTGAAGGGTTTGCGATGCGACATGTACTTTGGGCCCCAGTTCAAGACAAAGTATAGGTAGGCCCCCATGATCGTCAGTCCAGGGACTGGGCTGCTTATAAGAGGCCAGCTGTTGGTGCGGGGGTCTGAAACAAGGATATAACTGATAATTGAACTACAATTATTGACTAACAAACACAAGTACACTTCTCATCCCATTGTAAATTTTGAAGCTAGTTTTTTGTGTCTAGTTCTTGTCCTGTGACACTGATCACTAAGGTCAACAAAATGTTATTTCTATTTCAGAATTGATTTCATGATTTCTGCTGTACTGTTTGGTTAAATAGGTCCACGAGAGTCTGCAGTTCGCCGCAGCCAATACTGACTGCCTAGACCAATACTAGCCTGACTGGATTAGAGCGACGGATTACGTGCCGGAAGCGACCGTGCCAGAAGCGACCCAGCAAAAATCGTGCCAGAAGCGACCCTGGTAGTAGCGTGAGTGCCACTAGCGACCCATTGTTTGATAAAGGGTTTTACAATGTTTTGTTCAAATCGGTGTTAATGGCTTATAAACAAATCCTATTCTTGTTATAGTATGTACCACCTGGAAGAGCCCAATATTCGCCTAAAGAGCTGTTTTAGCATCTCTAGTTACCAGCTGCTAGCATAGACTCGAGTTATGTGTGGTAACTTAATCAAACAATGTTTCTTGAATTTTTATCATTTTATAAAAGCCAAATATAATCAATTAACTTATCTTTTCTTTATTTTTCAATTTATTAAATAAATATGCAAATATGAGATGGTGGATGTGTGTTTGTATAGGTCTACTACTTAATCGCAGGGGAACCACTCAAAAGATCTAAATTTCACATGGAGGTAGTTTATCAAATATAATCAAAATAATGTTTATTTCAGTAAGTAAAATACTATGTTACAATACTTTGTCAGTACATATTTTATAATTATGCCATAGTTATGTAATAATATACTGACATAGTCATTAAATATGAAATCCCCCTCACATAGGCTACTGTCCGTGCGTGAGAAATTTCCTCTATCAGTAAATAAATATTCTAAATTGAAGAAAAAAATAGATATTTATAAAACACTAGCTGGCCCGACAGACGTCGTCCTGTCCTAATGTGGTTTTATGAAATGCTTGTTCATTTTAAAAATTCAAAAAGCAGAAACCATTCGAATCGTCAAACTTTGGATTTTTGCTACTAGCCTGTTTGGAGATAGCGGCTTCTTGGAGTTTAATGAAGTTGGCGTGTTAACAATTATTGTTAACATATTATGTTTGGATTAGGATTTGAAATAGATAGTTGGACTCTTTCTTCAACGTCCTGCCTGTTGTAAAGCGTAGGCCTAATTACAACAGCTTGTTTTCATTTGACTATTTTATTTCATTTCATTACGTTTAAAATGACCCTCCGATGTTTATAAATGATTCCTTCCCTTCCCCCAAATTTACTGCATAATAGAAGTAATTGTATTTCCAAAACATATTTCGAAACTGAAATGAAATACTGAAATTGATCTTTAGGAAAAACATATTTCAGTTCAGAAAACACAGCCAATCAAATAGGGACTTTCATAATAAAAAATCAACGGTCTGGCTACAAAGTTTTTTTTTATTTGTGTAACAATAACAGTTGGAATAAAAAAAAACAAGATTTGTATAAAGACGAATTAAGAGCAATAAACTGTTTGGTGATATAGCCTATGACAGATAATTAATAACAATGCAATGGAGCTATTGGAATATACAAATCGTACATTTACCACAACATACTAGCAGGTGCAAAAGAAACAATATTTGTGACATAACCGGGATTATAGGCATAACAAAAGCCACAATTTTTATAAGCGTTTTAATTTTTTGGGAGTTTTTTTTTTATCTAAATCATCAGCTGTATAGATAGCTTCGTCATTATAAATATATAGAGTTTTTCTACAATAAATTCCTACCCTTTTCTTGCCTCATATTATTATTTTTGAGTTAGTAGAGTCTTAGTCATTTTTAGTGATAGCAGGTCAACAACATCAGGGGTTGTAAGCTGCCATACTATGACTAGACACCTCAAAATCTTCTTTATTTAGTTGTGCTAGAATACTCTTTTCCATTTAGGGAATAAGCTATTACCGTACGTCTCATTGAAAGACCTAGACCCGGGACCTATTTTATTTTTCGTTTTGATGCCCCGAGAGAGCAAAAACACCATTCGTAAAAAATATATGTAATTTGTAATTTAAGTAATTTGGTTATAATTCATTTCCATTCTAGCTCCTGAGCTGTAATATTTAATGTGATAAATAAGTTTACATACCTTATAATCCGACAAACAGTTCAAATAGTAGGTTGTTTACATGTTTCGGCTTGTATCCACCATTGTCAAAACATTGCAGTTGGAAAAAAAATACTTATCATTGTTTACTAATGTCCATAAACTTTCACACAAACATACACGAACGAATAAAAAAACAAATAGGCCTATTACAATAAATGCACCTGGAGTCTACAAACTGTTATAGTTTGCTTATTTATTTTTGGATATGTGTTGGTAAATGTATATTCGTATGAATTATACGATACAATTTACATAAACAACTATTATTTCTTCCCCAAATGGGAATAAATTTAGTCTGCAGGACTACTGCGCAGGAGTACTTTGTAATGTATTTAATGTGACAGCAAATCGTTTAAATGGTTTTATAGTGAAATTTTGTTTAGTTTTTGTTAAGAATATAAGTTGAATTGGCGTTAATTCATACTCGCCTCCCGCTCCAAATTCTTGGGTCGCTAGCGGCACGGTAGAAAATTGGTGGGTCGCTAGCGGCACGGGTCGCTTCTGGCACGGTCGCTTCTGGCACGACACCGAGCGACGTTGCGACATCGCCCGTTCTCTAATTATTAAAATATACTAAAGAATATTTTCAAATCAGCTGGTATTATTAGATTGATTAGGCAACACCGCACCGTCCTCATTGGCTCCTTTGAAGTCACGTGGTAAATAGGTTCCTCCCTTAACTGCAGACTCTCGTGGACCGTACTGTAGGAGACGAGTTATTGTTTATGAATAGATCGTTTTATTTGGTTAAACGAGGTTTATAATAACTCATATAACAAGAAACAAATTGTCTATGATAAAACAGTTAGTAGATTCTTCCCTTAGTAGATTTCTCATCCTTATCTTCAGCTGAAGACAATTTTATCATTAGCGTCCGGTGTACTGAAGAGGTCGCTCTATGAATAGACCAGCTCGCTCCCCTAGTCTATTGGTGTGTGTATTATAGTAGTCTACGTAGTATTAGTATTGCATAAGAGTATTAGAGATGTAAAAATTATACCTCCCAAAAAATAATGTTTAGCCAATCATTTCACTCAATGAACGCGTTAAAAAAGGCTTATTTTACAATAGTATAGAAGAAAGAATCGTGTAGTATCCATAATCCACAGTTAATGCAAAGACTGCAATACACGCAGTGTGTCTATGTATCTGAATTGCGTCCGATTGATTTAAGGCGTCGATTGGTTGCCAAAACAACAATGATGGTACAAGCACAAGCCAGTCATATTCTAAGACTTATTGCTCTAATTGTACCGTATGTCTCTTCTGTAGCTAGAAAGTAATGATACTTGGTTAGATGACAGTAAAAAATAGAGACAAAAACGTAATTCTTTTACAATCATTATTACGATTTGATTAGAAATCCTAACCTTGATCGAATCCTTAAAACCTGGAGACCAAACTAACAATAAAACCGCTGATTGTTTTAGCTAATTGTTAACAGGGATATTTATTTTTTTTTTATTAAGTGACCGCTATTTTGAAACTATACACTATATTAAAATAACATTTTAATCTAAAAATAAACCTTTGCTATGCAGCAAACTTCAATTGACCAAAAAGCCTTTATTGAATAAAAAAAGTTTAGTAAAAAACGAAATGGCAGCTGTACTGGCAACTTTTGGAGTTTTGGAAATTCTTAAAGTGATATTTTAGTCTGCTTTTAGTCCAGAAATGATACCAAGGTCTGTAGAGAGTTCTGGGACCGCAGACAGTTTTGTCCGTCTATGAAACAAACTGTGGTTAACATCTGCACCGAAAAATTATAGAAGTGAAAGTGAATTTGGCCCTAGGGACGAGCGCGGCAATTACTGGTGGCAAAACACGATAGGCCTGCCTGATTGAAAGTAAAGAGCAAACCTAACCTAACCTCATAGATCAGAACATGTCATCGGTGCGTGAAGGTTGGAAAGTCTCAACAGCTGATGCTAGATTTTAGATTGATCAGCTGATTGGGTTGTTGTAAACTAAAAATATATCCAGGTTACTGACGAAACATAAAAACACTAAAGTAGGCATCAAATTTTACAATAGGAAGAAAATTCTACTCGCACTATTCAAAGAGAATTAATTGCTAAACGCCATGTTGAGTATGCCAAGTGTGTTTTTTCAAACTGTTCTCGCTTGGCTTTTAGGTTTATACATTACAGTATAGTTACCCTAAAAGATTATTCACCATCCTTATGTATCAGCTAGCGTTATAGTCGTTTCTTCCCGATATTTATAAGAGCGTTTTGATTGTTACTTATTATTTATTGTAATTTACCTTCATGTAGACCAAATAAAATATGTATTTATTTACTGTTGATTGCTCTTTGGTATTACAGTATTCCCGAGTAAATCGGACTTTGTACGTAATATACATGCCACAGAGATATTGAGATCATATTAGCACTCTTGACCATTAGACTGAACACATTTAGATGTTTCTGAATTTACAATAGGATCGTGAATTTTCTGGACTTGAGTGATACAATCGAGTATTCTATTGCTCCTTGAAATATCAGAATACACACCAAAATATTAGTATCTAAATTTTATCCAAAACATTTTAGAAAACCTAGATAAAAACCATACATGATTTTAGTATTTGTTTTAAACCAATCAAAATCTTTTAAAGCACAATGCATAATATAGTCTGTATGACGGAACCTGTCCCATGGCAGTCTACTGGGAACTGGCCGATGGTTTAAGGCCATGGTAGGTTCCAGCATTGACTAAGGAAATAAAAGTTTTCCCTTGTCTTTGTTTCCCTTGTCTGTGGTTCCAGGTAGACTTATGGTCAGGAGACTTAACCTGGCTTCATCATACAGACTATATTACTAACAAGTCATTTTACAAAAATCGCCTTTAAAATTCACAAGAACTAATGAAAAACAGTAACGTAGTTTATAGCCAATTCACTAAGCTAAACACGTTTGATCATGCATGAACATGTTAAATCATGCATGGATATGTTGGAACGTGAGAACTTACCGGCGAGATCTGTGAAGAGAAAGTCCCAGTAGCTCGTGAGGCCATTGTAGACGGTGTTGTTGTATATGGAAGTCATCCTGCCTGAAAAAAATTGTATGCATGAACTCAATGACATTTGTACGTTATATTGACTTTTGTATAATGAAGTAGACCTGCTTACCTGCTGTAACCAATGTTTTATTCATAGTCTTCTGTTCTTTATTCAGCCAAATAAAAAAATGCATTATGTAGTCGTAGTCGTATGAATAAATGATCGTACTTGCATGAATGAATAAACGAAGTTGCATGAATGAATGAACGTATTTGCATGAATGAATGAACGTAGTTGCGTGAAAGAATAAACGTAGTTGCATGAATAACTGAACGTAGTTGCATGAATGAATTATCATAGTTTTATGAAGTATGAACGTAGTTCCATGAATGAATTAACATAATTCCATGAATGAATTAACGTAGTTTCATGAATGAACTAACGTAGTCGCATGAATAAATGAACGTAGTTCCATGAATGATTGATAGTAGTTTATGAATAAATGAATATAAGTTCCATGAATGAATGACGTAGTTTCATGAATAAATGAACGTAGATACTACAAAACATGTATCGTGTTAGGTAGTAATAGTAATAATATAATAAAATATTGAAAAGAGCCTTTGTATCTTGAGTAAGTAATATAACTAATATAACCATAAGTTTAGTTAAAATATGAAAAGTGCTATTCATTTTCAATAAGTAAGAACAGAAGAACAGTTTACATATGAGCTTTTATAAATTTCAAAGATATGCGGCAATCCTTTATATATCAATACTCCAAGCTATATTTAGTTCAACACGATCTTCTATATTTATTGAAATGGCTTAAAATAATTGGGATACCTATGGGGTAAAAGATTTTTATCATTATTTTATAGCAAATGAAAATGTATAAATTGTTTGACGGGGATCCAAACAATATTTTCTCCAATAGGTTAAGAAAGAAAAAAAAAATTATTTCATTAATGTTGAGAATACACAAAACTTGCACAATTCAAGGTACATGCTGTGCACCCCGCCAGGGCTAGGAATCTGTCCCACTGTGAAACAGTTGTCGTATTCCGTCCTTGGAAGTGTGCTGGTGGGTCAACCATTGTACCCAGCCTACTTGTCAGACGGAGAAAACAGCTGATCATCAGCTGACCGTAAAATCACCTGTTACGCGGTAACTGTAGTCACCGTTGTGGTAGCTTCCGCACCACCTCGGGAACTAACAAAAATGGTAGAAAATTCTGTGACTCCAGATTTTTGTTTATAAACAGTTGAGTGTTTGTAAAGCTATTAAGGTTATTTGACTGATTGTTTTTATTATAGGTACCTAAAAAGCAAACTGTGGCAATAAATCGTCTGTTATTTTATATTGACTACATGATTAGGCCTATTCCATTCCTGTGTTAGGGTTTAGAATGAAAAATGGACGTGTTAAGCTACCAACATGAATGATTTCATTAACTGATTTCTGTCAAATAAGCATACTTTTTAACCAAGCCAAACTGAAACAACTTATTGTTTATTTATTTCCAACTGATAACAATAATTATTATTGTTATCATTACTACTACTTTAGATGGGACGCCACCTATATGCGTATTTAAACCCAAATATGAGTGAAGGATGTGTGCAGAATGTTGTGTGATAATCTGAGTAGCTTTGTTACTGACTAAGATCAGTTGTTTCATTAGCCAGGATCATTTATTTAAAGCCCACTGTTAAGGAACAGCTGGGTCCGGTTTTGAACCTTCAAAAATCCACTGACTTTTCTTTGGATCGAACTGCACAATCTTGAGAGTGGTATTTAACTTTGTTCTGTGTTAATAAAATTGACAACGGTTGGTCTGTAAATAAGAAATTGATTACTTCAGTATTATTAACATATAAAAGCCTTACCCATGCAGTATTATTCAAAAGTAAATTTATAAACCTACATCAACGCTAAAAGTCCAAATTTTCGTAGACATAAAACGTCTCTAGTAGCTTAATAAAAAAATACAGGTTAGAAAGATTTCTGGAAATTAACGAACCGAAATTGACCGAATCAAAATTATTTGTATACACAATTCACCAACTTCCTTTCCACCTTTGTTTGTACCGTAGTTGTGTAACCGGCGAAAACAAAAACACATAAATTATCCAGCCAACTTAATGTTCCAACGAAGATTGATTTTCGTAATGCCAAACGTGGGTGAAGTTTGGACTCCTCTCCTTCAAAACTTGATGCCCTTGTGATGAAACATTGACTACTTCTTCAGATGTAGTCAACTAAAGTGAGACGGAACTACAGTTATGTCCCATATGGTGAAGAGATGACCTACTGCTACACAATGGGCGATATTCGCTACAGTACCTCATCTGTAGTGACGTCACTTTCTTCTTCTTCTTCTTCTTATTATTATTATTATTATCATCATCATCATCATTATCATTATTATTATTATTATTATTATTATTATTATTATTATTATTATTATTATTATTATTATTATAATTATTATTACTATTATTATTATTATTATTATTAATATGTTTCTACTTCTTCTTCTTTTAAGAACCACGAGTTTTCATCGCGTCTCGCTAATGTGTTAAAAAACAAGTTGTTATATTATGCAAATACACCTCGATATCAAGACCATGGGGGTTTTCAAATGAGACTTGTCATCAATGATGACTTCTTATCGAGGTTTGCAATAACAATGTGATTAAGGGTAGAATCAATTCAATCCAAGGGGATTAATGGCTTGTTATCGAGGTTTGTCTGTACGATGCCAATCATAGATCCATCTTTATTGTACTTGTTTGTATTTTTTCATGCTATTGTTGGAATGAATGAAATAACAAACTAGGGTACCATAAGCACGTATTAACACAATTTTCTAAATCAAATACATAAAACTACTCGTACAGCTAGAATATGTCAACGAGGACGTGGCCGCTAAGATCTAAGTAACGAGAACTGGAGAAAAAATGAAGAAAATACCAAACAAATTGCCGAACGTTAGAAGCTGAAAGGACCAGTCCGGAAGGTCGAGAGGCCGGATGATCGGTAGTCCGATGAGGTAACGCCAGGAATGAGATGACGTAACTGACGCGCCTAGAGAAAGTGGCAGGACCTCAGGATCTACTGGACATCTGACGTCATTAGGGTCTAGAGTGATGAGGAAAAACGTCACAGGATGTTGAGTTGAAGTTATACTGCAGCAAAACAGCTGTTTAATACATGCGTTGCTCTAGGTGTAAAGCATTTAGCTAGAAATACAACTGGAGATAGCACTGACAAGGTAACTCACGTTTGGGTTGGTACTAACTAGTGGAACAGCGCATTGGCTCATAGCTTTATGTATATGCAATCCCACATTCAAATGTACTGAGTACAATGTAATTCATCCCCTAGTACAAATGGTGGCCAACGTCTCGAAATCAACTTTGCACCTCCAGTTGTATCTCTAGCTCAGTGGTTGACGGTGTAAAGCATGTCTTTTCCCCACAGACCGAAAAAAGGAATCAGCTATTGAGGAATTCAGCTGTACATTTTACAGCTGTAAAAAACGTCCACTGCTTTTGCCGAAGAAAATAGTCCCGTTTAACAAATTAAATATGCTTTTGTATCATAATTAATTCATATTTTCCAAGAGAAATAAGTTATTTCTATTCTATAGATATTTTGACTAATCAAAATAACTATTCAATGAACCATAGCATTACTTTTGAGTCTTTTTGTTAGTTTCAAGCTTTTCCTTGGTCACGGACCGACATCGGGCTTGGTATTTACTGTGCCAACTGACCTGAGGTAGTTGGGTATTCCTGAATTGCGCCAACTACTTCAGGGAGCCACTCGAAAAGTTCATTATCTGGGCCGCAAGTGACAGCCCTCTTTGACTGCATAATTGGTCAGGTTAGGCTAGGAGTTATGTGGGTTAACTTAGGTTAAATTATTTTAGGTTAGGTTGGATGAGGTTAAGTTAGGATAGGTTAGGATGGCATGTAAACAAGGTTATTCCTTCTGTCGGAAACTCGCCCCTGCTTGGCTTGGGCTTGGCGCAACTAAGGAACATTTGTTGGGACCCTTTGAGGGCTTGGAGCATTTAAGGAACTGTTTGGCGCAATTAATGCACGGCCCGGACATCATGTCCCGTTTGTATATTCAGCAGAGAAAGTGGTTCTGGGCTGGACTTCCACATCTGCGACCTTTAACTTGCGAGAGAGTGCGTTACCGGTCCTCTGGCTGAGGCACGTAGACAAGAAAACACATGATCAACATTACAGGACGTTTCCGTAAAATATTTGCTATCCAATGGCTAAAATAAATTATTGGATGAGTTATCTCTTTAGGAAAAACTGCAATTTAGTGCTTCCTCTCATATCAGAGTTTAACGTTTGGTGTGTTCGATCCTGTTTTGTAAAATGAGCGGATTTTACTACCCCTAGCGTATTTTTATGTTTGCACTATTGTATCTTTACTATCACCCTATAATCTGTACTAGTTCAATTTGGTTTAATTTTCAAAATGTCAATTATGGATTATGGACCTATAATTAATTGAATTTGTGTGCACTTTAAAGAGTACTAGAGGTCGTCCAGGGGTCGAAAACTCTACCAAAAATATGTGATGTGATGTACAGACTTTATTTTCACCCCATGCTGTAAATAAAACATGTGATTGGAATTTCTTCCATATGTTTGGATTTTCTGTTTATATTTTGTTGTTATTTCGTCACCAGCATGGCAACCCATAAGGCCCATGTTAATTTTTTAAAATGTTAAATTGATTTTTTGCGCTTATTTTTGAGCCTATTTTAATTTATAAAGGGATTCTGCACACCTACAGGAAAATATTTTTCTAACAGTTTGCGTAAATTTTCCCTACAATGTACAAGAGCTGAGAAAAAGTGGTTTTAAAGAAACATGCTTGCCTATTAATATATAGATATTACAGATAATATCTTAAACGTACTTTATCGTTTAAAATGTTTGAGCTTATTGGCTATACACTATAATTTCTATATCTATTAATATCTTAATCAATTGCTTACCTCACTCTAAATAGAATTTT